TTATCATTAAATAACATTAATGTGCCATTGCATAACATATGCTGCACAGCTCAGTCACTCCTGGCACAACTGATATATTTTTCCCCAAAATCCACAAGAAATTCTTCTCTGTTGGTGAAAATTTAGAAAATTTTTGATAAGGGAACGCTTGAAATTCTGAACTCGGATCTAAGATTTACAATAATAATTATTTACTACAGAATAAATATTAAATATTACAATATACAACATGTACTATATATTATATTGTATTACACATAATAATATACAATTGCTTGTGTATTGGAACATTATTATTATTATTATTATTATTTTATTAAATATTAAATTATTGGCAATTTAGATAATTATCATTAAATAACATTAATGTGCCATTGTATAACATATGCTGCACAGCTCAGTCACTCCTGGCACAACTGATACATTTTTCCCCAAAATCCACAAGAAATTCTTCTCTGTTGGTGAAAATTTAGAAAATTTTTGATAAGGGAACGCTTGAAATTCTGAACTCGGATCTAAGATTTACAATAATAATTATTTACTACAGAATAAATACTAAATATTACAATATACAACATGTATTATATATTACATTGTATTACACATAATAATATATACAATTGCTTGTGTATTGGGACATTATTATTATTATTATTTTATTAAATATTAAATTATTGGCAATTTAGATAATTATCATTAAATAAAACTAATGTGCCATTACATAACATATGCTGCACAGCTCAGTCACTCCTGGCACAACTGATACATTTTTCCCAAAATCCACAAGAAATTCTTCTCTGTTAGTGAAAATTTAGAAAATTTTTGACAAGGGAACGCTTGAAATTCTGAACTCGGATCTAAGATTTACAATAATAATTATTTACTACAGAATAAATACTAAATATTACAATATACAACATGTATTATATATTACATTGTATTACACATAATAATATATACAACTGCTTGTGTATTGGGACATTATTATTATTATTATTTTATTAAATATTAAATTATTGGCAATTTAGATAATTATCATTAAATAACATTAATGTGCCATTGCATAACATATGCTGCACAGCTCAGTCACTCCTGGCACAACTGATATATTTTCCCCAAAATCCACAAGAAATTTTTCTCTGTTCTTGAAACCACGCGCGCCAGAAATATGAAATACAAGCCGCTTCCAATAATTTGTACTCTAAAACCTACTATAAATCTTTCACTTTGAAGCGCTCTGTCTCGCTCGCGCGCTCCAGCCCTCTCTCTCATTTCTACGCCTCAATTATTTCTCTCCTGCGCCCTATTGCTGTCCCGCTCGCACACTCGGACCTCTTTCTCACTTGCACGTGCCTCTGACCTCTCGCTCGCACGCTAGCGCTGTCCCACTCGCACGCTTCACTGACCTAAAGCTCTCCCACCTGGGTTCTCATTGAAGGGCGCTGAGTCAGCGGCTTTTTATACTATAGAGCGGGTTGCTCGTACGCATTTCCCGGAAGGTGCGATGGGTTGGAGCTTGCTTCCAGGAATTTTGGCGGCACATCAATGATAAACTTTAAAGCCACGTAGCTCGGGAACGGAACGACGTATCGACGTGAAACAAAGTGGACGCGAAAGGGCGTCGGTTCTTCTCTCTTTTGAGAATTGATAATTCCTCTGGATTTAGTTTCTGACTTCCTGGTTGCTAGGAATTTTGTGCTCTTTTTTTCTGATGATTTATATAAATTGGCTGACAAGTTGATTACTATTCTGGATTTAGTTTTTGATTTTTTGGTTAAAAGGAATTTTTTTTTTTTTGAAGATTGGGAAATTTATGGGTGACAAGTTGATCATTATTCCATTCTTAGTTTCGGTTAAGAGGAATTTTGTTCTCTTTTCTTGGAGATAAGAAAATTTATGATATGATAAAACTGGATGATAAATTGATGATTCTTCCTCGGGCTTGTCTGAAGGAATCTTCTAATGAATAAATTAGATAACAGAATTCTATGGTTCTCTGGTGCTTGAAAGAAATGTTTCTCCGAGGACTGAGAAATTTATCACAGTGACAAATATAAAATAAAATTAGACAAAGAGTAATAATGGCGGATCTGTTAACTCGATTAACATCAAAAATATCAGACAATACCAACTACAAATTTCACGTTATCATTCTCGCTACGAATACCTCGAAATGTTCCAATTTCATTTCCCGTTACAAATGTTTCAATTTTGTGAACTAATATCACCGAAGGACGCTGCACCCTCAAAGAAATAACTCGCGTTCGACGAGTGGAATTCCACCGGATGGACGAGCTCGTAAATCACACGAGGCCTGCTCCAAGCGACGAGATAACGAGAGTGGAAGGTATCGATTAACATTCGACGGCCACGTTCTTAATCCCATCGATAGGCAATAATTCAACGAGAAGCAACTGGACGGTTCATTAGCGTCCACTGTCGAAAGCGGCGCCATGAAAACAAATGTCCTTACACACCATCGAAACGAATTTCCTCCGCCAGACCATAAGTGACCAACGATGCACGCGCTACCCTCCTCCCCTCCGCACAAATCCATGCACCTCGCAAATCACAATGTCGTAAATCGTATTCACGATCGGGACTTAAGTTTGAGGAGATTTATCGACGTTACAAATCACGAACGGTGGCATTATGGTTCGTGATATTAGGGGCAAGTAGCTACGCCCAGTTGCCACTTGCACGCATCGCGAGACTGAACCTTCCCGCGCATATTATTAAGGAATAATAATCACGTACGGTGCTATATTTGTCGCGGTGTGACGTTTGTTAGATCTCGTGGAAGATCAGTGTCGACTTAATTTTGGGGCTGTTATCGAGGGCGTTGATTCTCTTATTAAATTTGGAAATTTTTTATGGATATTTGGTAGAGAATTTTTTTTTTTTTTTTCATTGAAAGAGGAAATTAAAAGAGGTATTCGAAATATTTCCAAGTCCAATTGATTTGAAAATTCGAAAGATTTTGAGAATTTCAGATGCTTCAAATTCTCCCATACGTTTGTGAAATTTTTAATGAAAAAGAATGAAATGTTTTTACCGGAAGGTATAACGTAGGAAAATTATTCCGAAGATTTCAATTCCATCATGTAATTTAATAGGTAATCTCGTTAATTCGATTGAGAATAATTAATAACGGTAGAAAATTTAATGCGTGGAATTAGCCAGTAAAATTTTAGCTCCGGGAGAGAAAGAGACGATGCTCCACATTCACTTGGCTAATAATTAAATTTATCTACAGAATGTCTTACCGTGCGTTCGTCGTGAATTTCAGTTGCTTCCTAGCGTAATTGTTCAAGTACACACAAAGCCAGTTGCTAAGTTGCTCGCAATAATTACACACAGGATTTCATAACATTGTTGCTACGTTTACTGTCTGATTGTGACACACGATAAACAATTGTTCAGAAACTCTTCTCACGCACAATTGTCAAACACTTTCGACGTTAATCGTAAAAGGCTGGAAAATATCCTGCCAAGTTTCGCAACTTTTGGAGTTCAAAATTCTAAATTTCGGAATGTCGAAATTTCGAGCTTCTGGATTCTGGGAATTTTTTGGGGATTTTAATCCCTGGAAAATTCGGAACTCTTGGGATTTGGAGTTAAAAAGAATTTAGAATCCTTGGAACTTGGAATTAACGAATGTTTAGAATCTGACACATTTCCTGGAATTTCTCATTCTTAGAATTCTCGAGATTTGGGATCTCTAGAATTTGACATTTCTGGAATTTTAAATTTCCAGAATTCGAGGTTTAGGATTCTTGGAATTCTCGACGTTTAAAACCTAGGATTTCTTCAGAACTCAACAATTTGAAATCCTGATTACTCGGAATTTCTGAAATCTGACTTGAAAAAACTCAGGAGACGACTCTAAAAGTTCGACTGAAAGGAGAAAGAAAAAAAATAAATAAATAAAAATACACTCTCGCGATACTAATTAATTAACAATGCGCTGGACATAGAAATTACTTCAAATCAAAATCTTAGCAACTGCGTTTAATTATCCGCCTGACAGATGTTCATTAAAATCCACGTTATTGTGTCTGACA